ACTAAAGAAACTATTCTTAGATGTCAGGAGAATTTAATTTAAAATTGACCTGGACCTAAAAAAACTGCCAAAAAAGTAGCTTCGATGTCCATCATGGTTTTGTGTAGAACAATTTAAAAATGTTGCTCTGATTTCAATTAAAACTCTTTAAAAATGTATTCATGTTGAAATTGGTGCCTTGTTGCGTATGACTATTGACAGCACGTATACGCCACCCTACAAAAATTAGTTTGAAAGGTAATTACAGGTTCTGGAGAAATGTTTTTTGGAGAAAATCTTTGACGCAGAGCTTCTAAGACGTTTTTAGATTAAATCTTTAGTAAAGAGCTTCGGACATATTTAGATTTTAGTATGTGGAACATAATCGCAGGCATGGGAGCTTTTTTACACCCTGAGCAACACTTGTGGGTTTTAAAAGAATTTTATTTGACAGTGACCTGAACCCAAAAATCTAGCTAATTTAATTTTTTTTCAGAACAATTTGAAAATTCGGCCCTGATTTTAATTCAAAACAACATTTAAATGTTGAAATTCGTACCGGGTGGCGTATGACTACTGTCAGCACGTATACGCCTACCTACAAAAAATTTATTTGAAAGGAAATTAGAGATTCTGAACAACATTTTTAGAAGAAAATCTTTGGTGAAGCGATTCTAAAAACATTTTTTAAGTAAAGCATTGGTAAAAAGCTTCGGATGTTCATTTATTAGTATAGAGAACATGACCTGCAGGCCTGGAAGATTTTTTTCCGACTGATCAACACTTGTAGTTTTTAATAGAATTTTATTTGACCGTGACCTAAAAGTGTTCGTGTGGAAATTCGTGCCATGTGGCGTATGACTATTGACAGCACTTATACGTCATCTTTAAAAAATAGTTTTTTAGGGAAAAGCTTGTTGTTTAGGTTTAGGGAAGGTTCTGAACAAATATTTTTAATGAGAATATTTGGTGCGGAGCTTCTGAGTACTTTTTGAAGAAAAAAATGTTACGTTGCTTTGAAGTAATTTAGATTTTGATCAGCTCATTTATTGCTATAGAAGTCGTGATATGCAGGTCTGGTAGAATATTTATTCCTGCAAAGCAACGATTGCAGATTTGAATAGAGGTTTATTTGAACACGATCTGAAACGAAAAGTCCAGCTGATTTTAATTTAAACCATCTAAAAAGTGTTCGTGTGGAAATTCGTGCCATGTGGCGTATGACTATTGACAGCACTTATACGTCACCTTTAAAAAATAGTTTGTTAGGGAAAAAGCTTGTGATTTAGGTTGATGGGGATGTTCTGGAGAAATATTTTTAAAGAAAATATTTGGTGCGGAGCTTCTGAGGTTTTTTAAAGAAAAAAATTGTTACGTTGCTTTGAAGTAATTTAGATTTTGATCAGCTCATTTATTGCTATGGAAGTCGTGATATGCAGGTCTGGTAGAATTTTTTTCCTGCAGAGCAACGATTGCAGATTTTAATAGAGGTTTATTTGAACATGATCTGAAACTAAAAGTCCAGCTGATTTTAATTTAAAACATCTAAAAAGTGTTCGCATGCCATGTGGCGTATGACTACCGACAACACTTATACGTCACCTTTGAGAAAATGGTTTGTTAGGAAAAAAGTTTTTGATTTAGGTTGATTGAGAGGTTTCGGAGAAATATTTTTGAAGAAAATATTTGGCGCGGAGCTTCTGAGACCTTTTTTGATGAAAAAAAAAATGGTTACGTTGCCTTAGAGAAATTTAGATTGTGGTCAGCTCATTTATTGCTAAAGAAAATATCTGCAGATCTGGTAGAATTTTTTTCCTGCAGTGCAACGATTGCAGATTTGAATAGAGGTTTATTTGAAAATGATCTGAAACGAAAAGTCCAGCTGATTTTAATTTAAAACATCAAAAAAGTGTTCGTGTGGAAATTCGTGTCATGTGGCGTATGATTGTTGTCAACACTTATACGTCACCTTTCAAAACATTTTTTATGAATGGAGAAGCATGTGATTGAGGTTGATGGGGAGGTTCTGGAGAAATATTTTTGAAGAAAAATCTTTGGTGCGGAGATTCTTTGACCTTTTTTAAAGAAAAAAATTTGTTACATCGCCTTGGAGAATTTTAGATTTTTTTCTGCTCATTTATTGCTATGGAAATCGTGATATGCAGGTCTAGTAGAATTTTTTTCCTGCAGAGCAATGATTGTAGATTTGAATAGAGGTTTATTTGAAAATGATCTGCGCCTAAAAGTTCTGCTGATTTTAATTTAAAACATCTAAAAAATGGCGTATGTGTCACCTTTCAAAACATTTTTTATGAAGGAAGAAGCTTGTGATTGAGGTTGATGGAGAGGTTCTGGAGAAATATTTTTAAAGAAAATATTTGATGCCGAGCTTCTGTAACATTTTTTAAAGAAAAAATTGTTACATCGCCTTGGAGAATTTTAGATTTTATTCGGCTCATTTATTGCTATAAACAATATGATCTGCAGGTCTGGGAGAATATTTTCCTGCAGAGCAACGATTCTAGATTTCAATAGAATTTTATTTGAACATGATCTGAATCAAGAAATCCAACTGATTCTAATTTCAAACTTCCTACAAGTGTTCGTTTTGAAATTCGTGCCATGTGACGTATGACTGCTGTCAACACTTATGCGCCACCTTTGAAAATATAGTTTGTTAGGGAAAAATCTTGATTGAGGTTGATTAAAAAGTTCAGGAGAAATATTTTTGGAAGAAAATCATCCCTGCAGAGCTGCTAAGACCTTTTTTAAGAAAAAAATTTACACATTGCCTTGGATAATTTTAGATGTGGGCCAAGGAAAAAATTCGTAGACTTTTTCAGAGTAATTTTTCGATGATAATTGACTTTCCTGTTAAACGAGAAAGTTTTTTTTGTTATTTCTCCGGGTATGAAATTTTTCTGGAAACTTTTCCCTAAATTTATTAAATATTTTGCCTGTCAAATCCATCAATCTCTAAGAAATTATTGACACTTTAGTGAAAATATTCAAACAAATTTGGAGTTCATTATTAATACAAGAAAAAAGGCAAAAAATAAATATGATTTGTATTAGAGGGAGGCCAAGAGAAGGAAGTCGATAAAAGTTCGCTATTGACTATAATTTAGCATCACGATGATGCTTAGATTGTAATTTATTTATTTACTGTCAGACTGTCATTTCACATTCAATTTCCTGAGTCAGCGATGGGAGCAGCAACCTTGATCTCATTCAAAGTTTTGCTTCTTTATTTCTATAAAAAATAAATGAAAAAAAATATTCGCAAAGAAAGTCAACGCCTTCTTTCCCGTTTTGCCTATCCTATCCTGTCTTCCTCTATCGAAATTTGTGTCAATTTTATTTATATTATTAACATAAAATTGACACAAATGTACTCGAATCGAAATCATGCCAAAGCTCAAAGTGATGCTGTCTGCCAGCCAGCCTGCCTGCCTGGGGAGACTGTGACAGAATCGCTAATACCCCAATAAAACTCTGAACAAAGGACCGTACTCGCAAATAAGTGCCAGCACACACAAAAAACAATAGAACTCTAAAGCGTGGCAATAAGCGTATTGATGATGATATGCCTCATCGGAATTTATTCGCATTGAATGTCATTTCGAAATGAAATGGAAACGTAACGCCTATTCTCCCACCGCATATGGAGAAGTGGCGGAGAATTGGATGGGGAAGTTTCTATGGATATTCATGGCAATAGAGAGTGGAAGAAGCGGATGAACGAATGATTTGTCCTAGCACAATACAATAGAATTACATTTTAGCTAAGTGGGGTATGGGTGGCATATACATACTGTCAATAGTTATACGTCACATGGTACGCAGAGAAAAAAAGGCAATAATAAGGGAAAAATTGCAGGAATTTTTCTAAAAAAATAAATTGAGAATTGTAAAAAGGGAGCGAGGGTCTGACGGAAAAAATTGGAACCAAGGTTCTTGCCAAAAAAATTCTAGAGTAAAAATCTAGCATATAGAAAAAATGGGATCCAAAGGTCTCACGGTCTCCAAGAAAAAATAACCTCCTTGTTGAAAAAAATGGCGCCCAACAGTTTTACGAATTTTCTTTAAAAAAGGGATCCAAGGTTATGAAGGTTATTGTTTTCCTATAGAAAAAAGAATCTCCTTTAAAAAAATGGCGCCCAACAAACACACGAATTTTCTGTAAATAAGGAATCCAGGTTTTCAAGATTTTTTTCTCCCTCAAGAAAAAAGCACCTCCTATAAAAAAACTTAACTTTGGAAAAATGGCGCCCAACAGTCTTACGAATTTTCTGTAAAAAGGGATCCAAGGTTCTCATATATTTTCCCCAAAGAAAAAAGTAGAAAAAATGGCGCCCAACGGTCACTTTGGAAAAAATGGCACCCAACAAACACGAATTTTCTGCAGATCTTTTATCTATAGAAAAATGAGATCCAAATGTCTCAAAAAGAGATTCAACTTTTCATAAACCTTTTCCCTAAAAAACTCTTTTTCGAAAAATGGCGCCCAACAGACTTGCGAATTTTCTGTAGAAAAGGGATCCAAGCTTTTAAAGATTTTTCCCTAAAGAAAAAAAGAATCTCCAAACTTACGAATTTTCTTTAAAAAAAGGTATATCAAGATTTGCTTTCCGAAAGAAAAAATAACCTCCATTTTGGAAAAATGGCGCCCAACTGTCTTACGAATTTTCAGTAAAAAAGGGATACAAGCTTATCAAGATTTTTTTCCTAAAGAAAAATAGAACCTCCATTTTGGAAATATGGTGCTCAATGGTCTTTTTAAAAAATGGCGCCCAACAGTCTTACGAATTTTCTGTAAAAAAGGGATCCAAGGTTATCAAGATTTGTTTTCCTAAGGAAAAAAACCCTCATTTTTTGAAAAATGGCGCCCAACGGTATTTTTGAAAAAAATTTTTGGCGATATACGGTTATCAAGATTTTTACATAAAGAAAAAAGCACATCATTTAAAAAAATAGCGACAAAATTTCATTTATCAATTTTCTCTTTCCCTTTATTGTAGGTTATGGCAACATAGCACCACGCACAACCTTGGGCCGCCTCGTCACCTTGGCATATGCATTTTTCGGCATCCCTCTCACCCTGGTATATCTCTCCAGCACCGGTGGTATATTGGCAAAAGTCGCTCGCGAAGTATTCTCCAAAGCGCTATGCTGTTGCCTCTGTTCGAACTGTGGTTACTGCTGTTACGATGAAAAGCGTATGGCCGAAAAGGAACGTCGTATGAAACGTAAACGTCAACAGGAAGAATTACGCAAACAACAACAGGCTCTACAAGAACCCTATTACGTACGATCTGGTTCGATGCCGGATACTTTTCAGACACCCGAAAAACAATCGCTCGGACAGAGTAGTATACAAATGCCCGATTTGGATTCGTTGAGTGCCAGTGAATCGCGTGGCAGTATGCATGGTCTAGCCATATTGGCCCCCATTCTGCTTTGTTTTTGTATGATGATAATTTATATTTTGTTCGGAGCTGTGGTGCTATATCGCCTTGAGGATTGGCCTCTGCTGGATGGTATTTATTTTTGTTTTATGAGCCTATCGACAATTGGTTTTGGTGATATGATGCCGGGATTTCGTCGTGATTCGAATACAACAATATGGTTTTGTTCGATCTATATTATGTCCGGCATGGCCCTGACAGCCATGTGTTTCAATGTCATACACGAAGAGATCGTGAATCGTATAAAATTTGTGGTGGAATTTAAGAAATCATCGAATATGGATACAACGAATGATGATGCGACCAGTTATTATATGCCACCCTGACAGCCATATGAAAAGAAACAGAATTTATATCAACGAAATCCCACCGAAGAGACTTTGGTAACGGGTGAGTTAAGAACAAAAAAAAATAAAATGCGTTTTTAGTTCACAAATTGTTGTTTTTTAAAGCGCTAAAATAGCCACACTGTACATTTTCATATAGCCCTGAAAAATCGCTCACATTTTAATTTGTTTCTTTAGTTTGCGTTTTTTTATCGCTAAAATAGCCACACTTTCCTTTAGTACTTAACTAATTAGTTTGAGTACTAAAGGCAAGTTGGCGATTTTTAATCGGTAAGATAACAGCACTACCCAATTTCATATATCCCTGATGAATCGCTCTCATTTTAAATGTTTTTCTTTGAATTGCGTTTCTCCTCTAAATTCAAATGGTTTGTATTATTTTTCAATTCGGAGACTATTATTTTAGTAATTTCAAATTGGCGATTTTTTAATCGCTATTATAGCCACACTGAATAGGAGAATACAACAGCCTCTCACTCTATATTACAGTAATCATTTATTGTAAATTCTGTGATTTTTGAATCGCCATGTCACCCTGTGGCCATTTGACAGGCAATTCATAAGGGGTGTTCACACCCTTAGAACAATTGTAGTTATTAATAAATCTATTAAAAACCTCAAAATTTTTGGTTGAGGATAATAAAAATGAATGGAGGGAGAAGAAAAGGTGTCAGATTTTTCAAATTCACCTCTCCCCTCCCCCCTGGTACATAAATTGCCAAGTCTTTTCATTAAATAAGAAAAAAAGCCAATTCACTATGAAATGATAACACCCCGAAATACTATTCACACCCTGTGTAAACAAAGGTGAAAGAAAATGCAACAATGCAATTCAATATGAAATGATATCCCCACACAAGCATTTTAAACTATTAAGAAAACGGCAATTCATTCGGAAATGATAACCCTTTAGTAGTGTTAAGCCATGCACAATGTAAGCAATCTATAAATTAAATGGAAAAATGCAATTCAATATGAAATGATAACCCTTAAGGGGTACACACACTTAAGAAAAACGGCAATTCATTATAAAATGATAACACCTAAACAGTGTTCGCATCAAATGTAAGCAAAGTAAACAATTGAGAAATACAAAAAATGTAATTCAATATAGATGATGACCCCTAAGGGATGTACACATCTTATGAATTTATTAAAAAAAAATATTTAGAGTTGCATTTAAAGTGTTTTTTAATTTTCTTTTTTTCAGGCACCCCCACATCACTGGTCTTTGGCACACACAATGACTCAGATTTGGCGAATATACACCAACTGAAAGATTATGTTAATCATGAGTTAGTGCCTATTTTAACAATGGATCCCAATTCAACGGCTTCAACATCCACTAATTTACTAAAATCTAATGTAAATTTACCCTTAAGTAATTTGCCACCACCACCAACGTCATCATCATCGTGTGGTGGTGTTGGTTCGGCCATATCTCCTCCCAATTCATGTACGGCGCTCACAAATATGGGTAGTCCCTTAATGGATACGCTGACGCCAACGACACAATCATCACTGGACTCAAATGGTGGCGGTGGGAATCTGGGTCTCAAGGGTGTCTATACACTGGCCGAGGAACCGGAATTGGAGGCACAAGAAACACAAATTGATCGTATTTAAAAATGTAATATTAAACGAATACAAACTAAGGTTGATAGTAGAGAATTATTTTTATTTTATTTAATTTAATTTTTTTTTTGTATATAAATATAAAATCTACTAATAGGTAAAATATCTTTGTTATATTTAGTTAGTGTTAATGGTATAATTAATTAGCAATAATTAAAAAAAAAACAAATATTGTGACTGACAACTGCAACCTAACATATAAAAGCTCATATAATTACAAAAAAAATTAAAAAAATATCATCAATATTCAATACTTTTTTATTGTAAAAAATTAAAAAAATAAAATCCTCATATAAAAAAAGTTATCAACTTTTAAGATATTTTGTACTTTTTATGTTAAGTATATTTAGATAAATGTTTAGCAGATACTTACACACCCACACACAAAATGTAGTTTTAAACATTAATCAACAACAACAAAAATTATTTCTAAAATAATGAAAAAACAACAAATAAATATTTCATAGGAATAAAAAACAAACAAAACGTACACAAAACTTGTTGAAATATTTCCATTAAAAAATAAAAACTAAATAAATAAAAATACAAAAAAACTTATTCTAATAATGAATTTCATAGCAAAACTAAACAAAACCCCCATGACAACAACAACAAAAATTGTGTAAATGTATAAATAAGGTTACAAAAACAATTTTCAAAAACCCAAAAATAAAGAAAAAAATCAAATAAAAAAAATAAAACTACTCTTTTATTTATTAGCATTTTTAAATTGGCGTTTTAAAACGCTACAATGGCCGCACTATGTGTAAAAAACAAAAATTTTACAAAATTCAATTATTTTATTACTAAAAAGTGTCAAAATTTTTAGCAAAATACAACTCTGGGCCTGAAATAGCAATGCGTAAGGGGGGTTCACATTGTCCGCAAATACTACACACAAGACGGATAATAGCTTAAGAAGATTTTTTTCAAGAATTATGCGGCTCTAAGGATTGGTTTATTAGGAGAATATTTTTGTAAGAATTCTGTGGCCAAGAAGGGTGGATTTTTAAAGAATGTTTTGGTATGGATTTGGTGGGCAATAAGCGCGGATTTTTTGGAACATTTCCTTATGGTTTTGGATTCCAATAAGCGTGGATTTTTAAAGAATATTTTTCCATGGATTTGGAGGCCAATAAGCGTGGATTTTTAAAGAATATTTCCCAATAGATTTGGAGGCCAATAAGCGTGGATTTTTAAAGAATATTTCCCAATAGATTTGGAGGCCAATAAGCGTGGATTTTTAAAGAATATTTCCCAATAGATTTGGAGGCCAATAAGCGTGGATTTTTAAAGAATATTTCCCAATAGATTTGGAGGCCAATAAGCGTGGATTTTTAAAGAATATTTCCCCATGGATTTGGAGGCTAATAAGCGTGGATTTTTAAAGAATATTTCCCCATGGATTTGGAGGCCAATAAGCGTGGATTTTTAAAGAATATTTCCCAATAGATTTGGAGGCCAATAAGCGTGGATTTTTAAAGAATATTTCCCAATAGATTTGGAGGCCAATAAGCGTGGATTTTTAAAGAATATTTCCCAATAGATTTGGAGGCCAATAAGCGTGGATTTTTAAAGAATATTTCCCCATGGATTTGGAGGCCAATAAGCGTGGATTTTTAAAGAATATTTCCCCATGGATTTGGAGGCCAATAAGCGTGGATTTTTAAAGAATATTTCCCCATGGATTTGGAGGCCAATAAACGTGGATTTTTAAAGAATATTTCCCCATGGATTTGGAGGCCAATAAACGTGGATTTTTAAAGAATATTTCCCCATGGATTTGGAGGCCAATAAGCGTGGATTTTTAAAGAATATTTCCCCATGGATTTGGAGGCCAATAAACGTGGATTTTTAAAGAATATTTCCCCATGGATTTGGAGGCCAATAAACGTGGATTTTTAAAGAATATTTCCCCATGGATTTGGAGGCCAATAAGCGTGGATTTTTAAAGAATATTTCCCTATGGATTTGGAGGCCAATAAGAGCGGATTTTTAAAAAATATTTCCCATGGCTTTGGAATATTTTCGTAAGGGTTCTAAGTTCAAAAAGCGTGGTTTACTTAAAGAATATTTCTCAAGAATTTAAATCCTTAGAGACGCAATTTTTAAAGAATATTTTCTCAAGAATTATTGTCCCCAGAGGCGTGGGTTTTTAATGAATATTTTCCCAAGAAATTAAACCAAAGAGGCTTGGATTTTTTAAGAATATTTTCTGAAGAATTATCAGGGTCAGATGTATGGAATTTTAAAGAAAATTTTTTGAAGAATTATAAGAGAATTATTATAGAATATTTTCTCAAGAATTTACAGGCTCAGAGTCGTGGATTTTCAAAGAATATTTAAGTAGAGATTGTGAGGTCAAGAATTCCGGTTAAATTAAAGATTTTTGGAAAAAATCCAAAGCCAAGAATTGAGATTAATTTTAGAATTTTTTGGTAAGGGTCCCGAAGGCAAGTAGCGAGCAAAAAGCGTGGTTTATTTCAAAAATATTTTCTCGTGAATTATCAAGCTTACAAACGTGGATTTTTAAAGAACATATTCTCTAGGATTTTAAGACAATATCTCATTATGAAGTATCAGGTTCAGAAGACCAGATTTTTAAAGAAGATTAAAAAAAATATCAGGCTCAGAAGCGTGAGTATTTAAATATTAAACAGCTGATTATGCCCTTGAACCGTATCACAAAGACTGGGAGAAGAGCTGTCATTTTTCGATTTTGAGAACCTTACGCAGTATAACGCCCATAAAATATATTAATTTATTAATTTTTATAAAGTGTTTTATTTATTTGGCGTCAAATATTTGAAAAGAACACTAAAAACAGAATTTCAAATCAAAAACATTCCCGGCTGACAATTACCTTTGCTCTCTTGTCAACTTGCCACACCAAGTACGTCATAATTTATGTAACACCCAAAGTAACTGCATCAGCTGGTTGGCATTATTTAATGTCTCTCTTTGTAATCAAAAAAGGATGTTATCGGGCGTTATACTTCACCCTCATTCGTAAACAATTCGATGTCTTCTCTTTTTTGATTCAAATTCGTTTATTTTTTCAACTGTTCTCTCATTTCTTTATTCGTACTTTTGGAACGTTTTTGAATTAGAACAGGAAAGTTTTACGTTAGAATTGGAACGTTTTCAGATTAGGTAGGCGAAAATAGCAAAAGGCGCGCAAATAAACCCAATGGATTGGACACTGGATTAATCGTTTCAAAAGCAATATATGTTTGTGAATGTGGCTCCGAAGGATTGTTAGGAATCACAGATCACACAGAAAGATTTGGTAATTTTCTTCCTATATTAAGGTATATATGGTCAATAATTTGCCTTAAGCCTAAAGAGTCCAAGTAAATGAGCGTAAATTATAAGAGCCATCCCAAAGGGTAGGTTTCATTAGGAAAAATATGAAGTTCCTGACATTTTCCCATTAAATATCAAATTGTTTAAATAAATATCTACCAGTTCGTCCTCGGACGGCTCACAAGAAAGACGTAAAAAAAAAATTTTAAATGAGTACTACACGCCCACGGGCTTAAAAATAGATTTTTACAAAATGGCGGTTGTTAAGCGTTCGCTTAACTAAAACGTGTGTTTTTAAATACGGATAACCTATAAATTACGAGTCGTTCAACAAAATCCAAACAGCTGCGCATGAAATTTTTAATTTTCGTAAATTTAATAGCAAAAGAAGATGCTTTTCGCTACTATGTGACTCCTTCACAGTAGAAGAGTTCACTGATACACAAGGCTTAGAAAGTCTGAACATTGTGGTCAAATTCTTAAAGAAGATCGAAGTCAACCTGCAAAACACAAACCACCATCTATGGATAAAGTCAAATTCGTAGCAAAGCTACATACGGATACATGGCACTAAACCTTCTATCCCTATAGAAAGTGGGCCAACCAAAATAATATATAAAAAAAAAAAAAAAAAAATAAATATCTATCAGGCCAATATGTCCAGGAAAATAAAATACGTATACAGTGATTATTTGATATCCCAGGCGGATAAAAATCCAGCTGTCAAGGGAAGAGTAAGATAGTCCCATTATTAACTTCCCTAAGGCAAAATTATTTCATTACTTTCTTTTAGGCCTCCTTGACCCACAATCTGATAAAATCCTATGGCCTGCTATCCCACATGGAAAGAATACGCCCCGTTGTGGCCAATTCCAGTGATCTAAAGGGCTATCATAATGCCGATTATGTCAAGCAATTGAATCAATATGAAGATCTAAGTAAAATCGATAAAGAAAATGTTAATGATTCCTTTAAATATGATCCGGATGATAATGAAGAAGATGTATTAGATGATTGCCTTCTATCTGATTCCCATGGCCTGTGCTATGATTGTCCCCCCTGGCCTGGAGTAAAAAATTATGTTTATGCCATTGCTGGGGCCACAATGACTGCCTGCCAGGAATTGTGTAAATCATCAGGCAGTAATAAGGATATAATCTTGAATTGGTGTGGTGGTTGGCATCATGCCCAAAAGGGGAAAGCTGCCGGCTTTTGTTATGTCAACGATATTGTTTTGGGTATTTTAGTGTTGACTACAAAATTTCGTCGCATTCTTTATGTGGATTTGGATAATCATCATGGTATGGGAGTGTTTTATTTCATTTTTGTATATCTTAATTCTTTTTTTAAATTCCAGGTGATGGTGTGGAGGAAGCCTTTGCTACCACACGTCGAGTATTTTGTCTTTCTTTTCATCAAATGGAATGTGGTTATTATCCGGGAACGGGTTCCCTTAATGATATGGGCCGTGAAAATTGTTTGGGTTACACGGCAAATTTTCCCTATAAACGGGGCATAACTGGCGATAAATATAGGAAATATTTTAAGAGGTAAAGAGACCTAAAGGTGGAGATTTCAAAGAGAATTTCAAAATATTCAGGCCTATGGACCTGATACTACTTCAGAAAACAATCAGGCTTCCGGTCCTGATAAATCAGCACTTATAACTTCGTCAGTCCTTAGAAAAATATTCTTTAAAAATCCAATTTTTTATCCCTTTGAGGAAAAAAATCGATATTTGTAGATATTTTTCCTTTAGAAATTATTTTAATAACCCCTCTTTATCTCCCCTAGAATATTCTCGGCGGTCTGTCAGGCCTTCAAGCCAAGCGTTTGTGTAATACAATGCGGAGCAGATGTCATTGTTGGTGATCCCTTGGGTGGTTCAAATTTAATACCCGAAGACTTAATAGAATGCATTCGAGCGATTTTAAATTATCCCGTACCCTGTGTATTTTTGGGTGGTGGTGGTTATAATATGGCCAATTCAAGTCGTTATTGGTGTCAACTAACCGCCGCAATATGTCAAGAAACTCTGGAAGATGACATTCCAGCCGATAATGAAAATTTTCTAAAATATGGTCCCGATTATTGTTTGAATATTAAACGAATGCCAACATTACGGGATGAAAATAAGGATGAAGATTTGGAGGAACAGGCCGAATGGATAGAAGGTAGATTTTTTGAAATTAATTTTAAAAATATTAATTCTACGATTTTCGATTTTTAGGAAATTTAAAATTGTATAAAGTCTATCCCGTGTAGTAAGGAGAAATTTCAGAAGGATATGCTCTTCATATTATAAAAAGTCTCCACATTTGTCAATGAATTGCTTATCCTTTTAAGTCGAAACTCCCGCATTTCAATTGTGTTACGTTCTCAATTAAAAACCCAAATATCCAGACTGGCAATTATTTTCCTTCTGTAAGTTATAGTTATTTATTTAAATGTAGTATTGTTAACTTATTTGTAAAATTAAGATTGTGGGCAAAAAATATGGGAATTGGGGTCTTCTATAAAAATATTCTTAAACGAAAAAAAATTGTCCTCAGGTTTATTTTTACAAAATCTGTCTGTTTGTAATTTGTTGTTGTTGTATTTTCGTACTATTAAATCAAAACACAATATCTTGAATTTAAAATCCTTGTCCTGCCATCTCAACCTGTTGTTTCCCCTTTTAACGTCCTGCAGCTGCCTTAAAACGTTTACTCGGCGATGCTCCACCCAATTCCGGTTTTACACGTGTCGGAGACAACAGACTATTTGCACCCATACCAGGATTTGATGATGAATTTTGTACCGGATCTTGCAGCCACCTAACTTGTGTAGCCGGTCCATAACCCTTTTCATTTCGTGCCGCAATACGAAATATAATTGCTGGCTTATTGGAGCAGTCTACATGTGCAGCGGACAATGAATTGTGTGAGACAGTACATTGATTGGCTGCCCCCACATAGACACGTACAAAAGCCAACTGGGCGGGGGCCCTTTGACCGGCCTTTGCCTCCTTTTCCTTACCCGGCTTAACGGCCAAATATACCGAATATTCGACAATTTCATTGGAACTAACACAACTTGGTGGTGGTTCCCACGTCAAATGGGCACCCTCTGATGACTTGGAAATTTTAATGGCCGATGGAGCACCTGGAAAACCGGGTAGACATGTTTTGAAGCTGGAAATTTCACTCCAATCACTGGCCCCCACCGAGTTTAAGGCTCGTATGCGGAAACGATAGGCCGTTCCGGGTTCCAGATTTATACGTTCATACTGTGACAAATCGGGTATTTCATCTGAATTAAGATGAACGCCAGCCGAGGTCCAAACGGTGTTATCGATGTAGCTGGTAACGGTGGTGGATAGATTTTGAAATATACCCACAGTATGCCATTTGGCATCTTCCTCATCTATGGGTGGAGCTGGTGGTTGGGGATTGGGGGCAGTTGTAGAGGGTGTTGTGGGCTGTGAGGAGGTGGAAGAAGTGGCGGAGGCAGGTTTTTGTTGTGTGGCCTCGGTTCCTGGTTGTGGCTGACTGGAGGCTGTTGAATCTGCCGAGGAGGTTTGTGAGGATGTCAAGGCCGAATTTGTTGATACCAAGGGTGCGGCCTCGGCTCCTGCGATTGATGCCAATGTAGCCAAATTATCATGGCCCGCATCCATTTGATCCATTGGTAAATGATTTGAAGCCGCTTCCCCAGCTTGATGATGATTTAAGGCTTCCCCGCCTGCATTCATTTGGGATTGTAACAAATGCTGATGTTGGCCCTCAGCCGGATTTTCCATGGAACCTATAAGCAACAACAACAATACAACAATTCACTCAATAATTTCTTACAAAAAAAAGCAGAACACATCGAAACACAAATACCTTGAGCCGCCTCATTTGCTGCTGCTGCATCGCCACCACCACTATTCATCGGTTCATCTGTGTCCATTGGCGTTGTTGCTTCACCAACTTTATGAACTTGCTGATTATCTGCTGCCTCGGTTTCCATCATTTGGAAACAACACAAAAATAAAACAAGTTTGTGCTTGAATTATTGAAAAAAATTGTCTTAAATTTGTTTACAATCGCCAATAAAATTCACACAAGCTCTATACACACAGTAAAATACCAAGCTGTGAGGTAATTATTGACGGCGTCACATAAAATTGTTGTTTTGTTGATATATGAAACACCCTGTTATGTGTGTGATGTATACATCAAATACACTGTACCTTTGAGTAGCTCACAATTTGACAGTTGTCATTGAATAAAGAATGAATTCACATTAAAATGATAACACCAAGGTGGATTCCGCTGTATTGATAACTAAAAAGGTTATTTTAATTTAATTTAAAAAATCATTGCAACGTTATACAAATACAATATAAATTAAAGTAAACCCTAATTTACATAAACATTTTTTTGGGTTAACCAATTTAATTTTTTTATATTCAACGGAATTGACAATTAAAACCCACTTGGGTAACGAAATCTGGTATGCAATAAATTGAAATAGATGTATATTTTATGAGGTTGGATGTGTTTATGAATATTTTCTGAAACAGATTAGGGTATTAAAAGTGTATTTTGTAAAACCTATTTTTATAAAGCCTATTTTCAAAGGCCCTGGTAGAGAAATGAACGTGGATCAAATCCCACAGAAGCATAGGTTTAATAAAGAAGCGGAGATTTATAGCTGACCTGGAGATTTTTAATTCTGTTTGATGATCGTTCGGCTGAAGTTCTATGAAGAAACTTTTGTTTTTGTTAAACTTAGTTTTATTATCATTTTCTAAAGTGATGATAATAAAAGAATTATTGGTTTTATTATTTTTTTTTTTTTTAGAAAATATATTTAAACATATAGATTTAAAACATATCTAATGTAAACACTCTCTAGCAAATCAAGTTTTATTTTAGTTTAAATAATTTTAGTTTCATACTTAAATTCCCCCTTATGTCAGGTTTCTCCTTCTTTCATTTGATCTACCCTGTGTATCATAACAACTGAACCCACCTTATCTCTCAACTCAACGGCCATTTGACAACCGATGACAATTTGAGACTTTGACGTTGTCCGTCATTTCTCTCATTTTTAGTTAGACTCTGAACTCTGGTGGGGGTTTGTAGTTGTTAAATTCAATTGAAAAGAAAAGAAATTGTACGTGAAAAAGAAGTGAACGATCCCATGAAAAGTGTTAATTAAACTTTAACGAAAAAGTTTTTCCATTTGCTATAACAAAAAAACTTTTTCCATTCAAGGTAATTTTTATGATAAATAAATGTGTGTGCCTTCTATTCGGTGTTGTGAATGTGTAACCAAGACAAGATGAAAAATTGACAAATCATCTATCATGAAGAACAAAAAAAAACGGAACGACAACAAACAAAAACAACAATAAATTTTATAAAGAAAAAACTTAATGCGGAAACATTAATGCTAAATAATAATTGTAAATGTGTTAATGATTAACATTGAACAATTCGTACATTCAATTTTTTTATGTGTGTCTAGACATGTTGTGTTTTGCAATTGCATTTGCATTCTTGTCGGTTTCTTAATGTTTCATTGCATAAAAATATATATGAAAAAAAAAAATAAACCGCAACCTCGAAGTTTGGGTGAGAGAAAAAAAAGAAAAAAATTGTGTTTGTTAAGAGAGGGAGAGCGAAAAGGGGGGAGTGTAAGAGAAGTATTGAGAATAAAAACTAAAACATCCCCCTACTTGCACCCACACCCTTATTGTTGTGTGTAGCACAAAAGAACACAAAATAACACGTTTTCAAGCAAACCGAAACACAATACACTACAGGGTGAAGCAATATTAATGCACTGAGGATGTAATAATTTTCCCCAAAAAACCACACAAATTTATACCCTTGGCGCCATGTTCAGAAAATATGACGTAAATTTAAATTTATTGGGGTTGGAGAGTTTTTTTTACGTTATGGAAATTTGAAGTGCAGGGATATTTTTCGATGATTTTTAAGTATAAATTTTATTATTTTAAAATGAAAATTTTAATATTTTTTTTCTCTTGCCAGCAATTGTGGTTTTCTCTTTGTAATAAATCGTAATGGGTTCAAATGTAGTGGCATGCCCGCATTTTTTGGCAAATTGAAAGATTCAAACAATTTTTTGAAAAAAAAAGAAATCAAATTAAGAAAATTGTAAAAAACAAGAGTAAGGATTGAGTGGATAAATGACTGAAATATCCCAACATTTTTGTAGTGAGTAATTATACGATTTTGAAATATTGTTTAAATAATATTTAATAATTTACTTTTTGATTTTGTAGGACGGAAAGATTTGTCATAAAATAAAAAATCCAGTCTCCTTCAAAACTCAAAATCCTTAAGAAAATATTCTTGAACTCAAAATCCTTAAGAAAATATTCGTAAAAACCCCAAGCTTCTTGGTTACAGAATCTTTGACACATATTTTTATACTATCCACCACAAGATGAAGTCATTCTGTTGGCAACACCTCGAAATAATCGTTGGAGACTCTGTAAATAATAAAAATTCTTGATCAGAAAAAAAATCAATGTCGATTTAGGCATGTTCGACTGTTGAAATCACGATATAGCTCACAATATTAGAGATAGAGCTTTGAAATTTTGCACATACATTATAACCGCTCCTAGGATGTTTGGTATTGAAAATGGGATATATCGGTTCACCTTGTTTGTATAGTCCCCATATATCGGTAGTTTTGTTATTTTGGGGGTTTTGAGCGTGTTTTTCAACCGAATTAGCTGTAATTTTAGTACAATGGGTTCTTATTAGGTACAAAATCTCCTCACTAAAAATGAACAACATTGGTCTACGTTAGACTCCATATAGAGGTACCCCCAAAATTTTCGTTTTTTTGGGGTTTTTGAGTGAGTTTTTCAATCGAATTAGCTGTAATTTGACACATTGGGTTCTTATTGGTTACCAAATCCTTCCACCAGAAATTACCAGTATAGGTCAATTTTTTCGGTTAGTCTCTATATAAATATATCCTCAAATTTTCGATATTTTGGGAAGTTTGCCCACTTTTTCCAACCGAATTGGCTGTCATTTGGCATATTGGGTTCTTATTGTGCACCAAATCTAACCACTACAAATTGTCATTATAAAGGTACCTCCCATATAAAGGTACCTCCCAAATTTTCGATATGTTTGGGATTTGTGGTAAATTTTTCAACCGAATTCGCAGTTATTTGGTACAATGTGTTCTTATTGATTATCAAATCTCCTCACAAAAAAGTATCAATATGGGTCCAATTTTTCAAGTAGCTCCCATATAAAGGTACCACCAAAACTTCGATGTTTTGGGGATTTTGAACACGGTTTTCAATCGAATTGACTCTAATTTGGCTACAAAACTTTAACCAAGGTCTGGATTTAAAAAAAAAAACATTTTTTTTTCAATCTTTTAACCAATGCTGGGATTTTTTACAAAATATTTTTTTTCAAGGCCTGGATTTTTTAAAAACATATTTTCAGGGCCTGCATTTTTTAAAATATTCGCCGTGGATTTTTTAAAAATGTTTCAAGTCGTGGATTCTTTTAAATATTTTTTCAAGGCCTGGTTTCCTTGAATATTTTTTCAAGGACTGGGTTTTTTTAAATATTCTTTCAAGGCCTAGTTTTTTCAAACTTTTAACCAAGGCGTGGATATAAAAAAATTTGTTTCAAGCCTTTTACCAAGGCGTGGATTATTTTAAAATCAGTGGTACTAATAATTGTAGAGATTCATATATCAAATAGATGCTGAAGAGCTTTATAGAGGTTCGCCTGTCTGGTGTTCGATGGAAACATCTGAAGACCTATTTTTCCACAAATTCTATGTCTAATGACCTCCATAAATGATATTTTAGCTTCTGTAGCACCTGTTGTTCCAAAGTCGAGGGACCTTCTCATTGATTATTTGAACCTACAAGAACAATTTCATTCGATATTCGCAGCTCTACAGATTGGTTTAAGGAAAAGCGTTTGGTTTTTGTAATTTGTCCGCTTTGCATTTTTTTTTTTTTTTTTTTTTTTTTTTGAAATTTTGCACAGCAGTATTTTGTTTACCTTTTTGTATTGTTGTTGTTATTTTTCATTGCTTCTTTGCTCTCTCTTCCATTTTATATATTTTTTTACACTCTCTGGCTGAAAAATTGAAAATCAACCGCACTACTCAAAATATATATAGCCTAGAAAAACTGAGTATAACAATAACAACAAAAAGCAAAAAACGACTACCAGCAACAATGATATAAAATAAATGTGGAAACGTGTGTGGTTTCTTGTCATTGGTTCATCTCGGTATCGCATGTTAAGCACACAAAAAAAAATTTCCCTCGCAATGATTTTTTAAGTTTCTGGCTGTTTGGTAATTTAAAAAAAAAAGTATAATAAAATTTATTTTTTAGTTCGAAAAGTGTTGAAAAGTCGATGAGGAAGTTAAGCAGGTAATTTCTTTCCTTTTCATTTGGAATAAATTGAAGTTGTTATTTTTGTACGCTTCTTGAATATTAGACTTTGAGATTAATGCCACAGCCATCAACAAATCCAACACACTTGACATTTTCTACTTAATCTTTAAATGATTTGCTTAAACAAAGCTGACAAGCACGCAGGCCAGACAATCAAACACACAAAGTGATAACTCTTATCTGTTCCGAAAAAAAAACTTGCCTTAACCTAGTAGACTAGTAGTGTGAAGCACTTTATCTCTTTTTTATTTGATTAGCATTTCACTTATTTTTTACCTACACGGTATTTTTCTTTTATTTCATGCTAGTACCTAGTATGTGGGTCATTAACCGTATACCGAATTTTGTTTGGAAGTTTTTTTTTTAATTAGCATAGGTTCTGGACATCTTGGTAAAAATAGAAAGCAATTAAAAGGAGGTTGCCTACTATTTCCGTATATTATTATCAGAAGAAAAAGATAAGATATCATTTCTACAGCGTTGCAGATGAATACCATTCTTTATGGCCAGGGTAGGTAAGTGATAAGGTGATGGAGGGAGGAGTGGGTAATTAACAATAGTAACCTTATTACTTTAATTTTTATTTATATTTTTCAGGAGGTTGGTGGTGGGTAATGTGTAATATGTGGCGTGTTTTTCTTCTATTGTAAAAGGTTCGCTGTCAGCTGTCAATGAGGGGATATGATGTTTGTGAAACGCATCAGCTGGTTTTGCCCACAGATGGACAATAAACAATAATGAAATTAAAATTACCAGAAACAAAAATAACTGGAGGAACGAAAAAAGTGTTTCCAAAAAAAGAATCTAATAACCGATTTTAAAAGATATTTATTTAAAGTCCATTAAGAACACATTATAAATTCCTTAACAAGGCTTCGTGGAGTTTCGTGGAATATATAGTCTTGAATATCGACCCACTTTTTCTTATCATTAAATGATGTGTGAATCACAGGGTTTAAAATGCTAACGCTAAAATAGCAAAAACACAGAAAATTGCCGCACTGCTAACTAAATTCATCCTCAAAATATGCAGCACAGCCAAGCACAACTGCAACAAAAAGCAATACATTACGAATAATTTTAGCAAGCAAAACTAAAGCTTCTTGATTTTGTCAGCAGCTACAAAATAGCAATGAACAACTACAACATAATTGTCAACGCGACTAACAACCAAAGCTTACAATGAAGACTAAGCACCCTGACTGTGGCTGCTTAGCAAGATTTTTAGCAAACAAAACCCGAGCATTTTTCGAGTTCAGTGTTGCCCATTGAAATTTTATAAATTATATGAGAGAATTGAAAATCGCGATTGTGATAATTTCATTTTTTCGAACAAAGACAATTAGTAATACTTGCTAAAGAGTTCAATTTAATATATTATTTAATTTTTAGTACTATTATTGACAGTTTTTGATTATGATTTGACAAATTTAAATTAAATAAAAACGCACAAAATGTAATGCCTTTTTTCTAATTTCTGCGTTGGCAACACACAAACATAAAAACAACCCTCGGCTGATTATTCGTCGGCAGCGAAATATGAATATGTAGTCGTACTGCCGATTAGTCATAGCAAAAAAAGCTCGCATGTGTAATACGTGCTTAGCACGGATGCTACGAACTAAAAAAGCTAGCCGTTTGCTAATTTAGTCATAATGTCAATATTTTTTAGCAGTAGCTATGTAAGACTAATGCTAATATTTTTGGATGCTGCATTTTAAACCCTGGTGAATCATAATGAAAATTCATTATTCTTTTTAATTATTGAGTGCATTATGTCTGCTTCGAATTTGTTTACACAAAGAATCGTATTGATAAATTAATCAAATCGTTTTGTATGACCGATTAGTTATTGGTCCGTATTTCAAAACCACAATGATGGAAATCCTTTGTTTTTGTAATTAGTTTATTTTTGTATTTAAAACGCAGAAACCAAATAATTTAAATTTAATTTACCACCTGCTCCACCTCCCCCTCCTCATGAGTTATTTTGATCTAAATATGATTTTTTACCTCTAATTTCTCTCTCTCTCTCTCTCTCTGGACCTTTACAAATCACTTCGAACTCTCTTGGATTTCTTTTCTAATTATTCGTAGCTTTGTTGACCACCAGCATATTCTGTTTTTAACCTTTCAATTTCAATCTAAATATATCCCGTTATCAGATTTTTCCGTCGAACACCACACCTCGAACCTCTATAATCCTCTTCAGCAGCTTTGATGTTCTCTATTATTCAAATTCAACCTTTCTATTATTCAAATTAAATTGAACCTAAATACGCCTCCTCAACAGATATCCTCGTGTAAGACCAACAGAAGAAAACTGTAGATATTGATTTACATACTTCCTTCCGACTGGACCCCTTTTTTTCAGATTCCTAAGAACAAATACGTGTACCTCTTTTAATATCTACACCAGGCTTTTTTTTAACATTTATGGAGCTTCTACCTATTATTGGTACCTTTGCTGACCTAAACATTTAATTATCTATACCTCATTTCGTTCTGGAAACGTTGTTATCGACAACTTTTCTTTATAGAAAATTTGTTATCGATAACTTTTTACCATATACATATTGTTATTGATAACTTTTTTCCATATAAATATTGTTATCGAATTTTTTTCGTTATGGAAAAGTTGTTATCGGTAACGTGTCTTTTTAAAAATGTTGTTATCGACAAATTTTCGTTATGGAAAGCTTGTTATCGGCAGCTTTTCTTTATAGAAAAGTTGTTATCGATAACTTTTCGTTATGGAAAAGGTGTTATCGATAACTTTTCGTTATGGAAAAGGTGTTATCGATAACTTTTCGTTATGGAAAAGGTGTTATCGATAACTTTTCGTTATGGAAAAGGTGTTATCGATAACTTTTCGTTATGGAAAAGGTGTTATTGACAATTCTCTTTATAGAAATGTTGTTATCGATAACATTTCTTTATAGAGTTTTTATCGTTAACTTTTCGTTATGGGAAAGGTGTTATCGATAACTTTTCTTTATGGAAATATTATTATCGACATCTTTTCTTTATGGAAATGCATGTAAAAGTTGTTATCGATAACTGTCCGTTATGGAAAAAGGATAACTTTTGTGGAAAAGGTGTATCGACATTTTTCCTTATAGAAAAGTTGTTATCGACAATTTTCCGTTATAGAAAATTTGGTATCGAGAAATTTTCTGCATGGAAAAGTTGTTATCGATAACTGTCCGTTATGGAAAAGGTGTTATCGATAACTTTTCGTTATGGAAAAGGTGTTATCGACAATTTTTCTTTATAGAAACGTTGTTATCGACAAATTTTCTTTATAGAAAAGTTGTTATCGACAATTTTCCCTTATAGAAAAATTGTTATCGATAACTGTCCGTTATAGAAAAGTTATTATCGATAACCTTTCGTTATGGAAAATGTGTTATCGACAATTTTTCTTTATAGAATCGTTGTTATCGATAATTTTTCGTTATAGAAAATTGTTATCGATAACTTTCCTTTAAGAAAATTTATTATCGATAAATTTTCTTTATGGAAAAGTTGTTATAGATACATTTTCTTTATAGAAAAGTTGCTATTGACTAATTCTCGTTACAAAAAGGCTGTTGTCGATAACTTTTCATAGAAATTTAAAAAACAACGGCCATTTTATTTTTTCCAAAAAATAGAGTCTTGATAAAATAATTTTTGTAAAAAATTCACGCCTGGATTAGAGTCTTAGAAAAATATATTTAAAAAATCCACTCCTTGGTGGTTAGATGTTAGAAAAATATTTTAAAAAAATTCACGCCTATAAAAAAATTTTTAAAAATCCATGCATTGATTAGAGGCTTGAAAATCTAAGCATTTTTTTATTTAATTTGCAGCTATTTGAATAATTTTGTAGCATATTTCTGGGCATTTTATTTTTAAAAAACATCTTGGCGATATCAAATATCCCAAACTACACCTACATCTTTTATATTATTTCAAAAACACAACAACTGTGCATTTGTGCCTAAAGAGAATTTGCAACATAAAGGTCATACCTGTTGTTTGGCTTGTATTTAAATTGTAAGACAATAATATTGGAAAGGTCATATAGAAAATTAAAAAAAAAAATAAATAAATGAAAACATCTTGTGTTTGTGGGATGATTCCAAGGAATATGAATATGTTCGAAATTTGCTTTTTTAATGAGATTGTGTAGACAATGCTCTGGAGGCATTTTTTTTAACAATAAAATTGTTTCATAAATAATAAAAATAATATTTTTTTCTCTTTGCAGTTTCATTAAACCAATGTGAAAAAGCCAACTAGAAGTCAATAGCTTAAGCAGCACTACTACTACTAACAACCACAACAACAAGACCCCATAGAGCCGCCAAGAGCACCCTCAAACATAAAACCACATCAAATTTGTAGTTCTCTTCTTGTTTTTTTTTATACCAAACTTTGCAAAAGAAAACTTAATAATTCAAGAGATTTCCGACACCACCACCAACACGCCGCGTCACTCTACTTTGCCAATAGTAACCATATTAAAACTTTTATTAACAACAACAAAAACGTAGAGAAAATAAAAAAAAAACAACTTAAATGTCACAACATTCGAAGAAGGACAAAGACACGAGACAAAGAAAAAATGTAGACAACAATTCCCATAAACAAAAGAACGCCGGTAGCAACAATAGTTCGTCCTCCAATTCTTCGACAACGTCCAACTCTGCAAAGACACCAAGTAACAAACAAAAACAACAACAACAGCAACAACACCCCAAAAAAGTTAACAACGGCAATTTACCTTTAAATATGAAACCAACCAACAACAAGAACAACAAACAACTAAAGGAGAAACTTAAGGCCGAACGTGAAGCTTTAGTATTATGGAGACATCCAATACAAACATTGTCATATTGTAGTTTAGAAATAATTGAACTTGTTAAGACTTTAGGAAGAAAGTAAGTTACCAACACCACATTTCAAAAAATCCCATTTAACCTATTTTCTTCTTCTTCTTGTTTTCCAGATTAATTCAAAGAAAAATTTGGATTGGTGTATTTGTACTATTAGCTAGTTTTATAGCTATTTTATATCATGTACCGGGACCTCATCAAGTCCTCGTGGACTTCTTAAGACACAACACCTGGTTTGTGGTCTATTGGACCGGGTTGGGTATACTGTCGTCAGTTGGCTTGGGTACCGGTTTGCATACGTTTCTGTTGTATTTGGGTCCACACATAGCCAGTGTCACATTGGCGGCATATGAATGTAATTCATTGAATTTTCCAAAGCCACCATATCCGGATGAGTAAGTAGAAGAAACAAAAAATGTTGCCTACTTATAGGCGTAATCAAAAAATGTCATAATTTTGAGAGGGGAGAAAAAATGAGGGTATGTTATGGAAGCACTCATATAAAAGCTTTTGTGGAAATTGCTTTGCAATAAAAATAATCTTATCGATAACTTTTCACTATGGAAATGTTGTTATCGATAACTTTTTGTCATAGAAATTTTGTTACAGATAAAATTCATTTATAATTTTTTTTTCTCCACCATTTTCCGTTGAAGAAAAGTTGTTATCGACAACTTTTCGTTATGGAAGAGTTGTTATCGAAAATGTTGTGTTATAAAAATATTGTTATCGACCACTTTTCGTCAAAGAAAATTTATTGTCGACAACTTTTTGTTATAGAAAAGTTGTAATCGACAACTTTTATTTATGGAAAAGTTGTTATCGACAATTTTTCATTATAGAAAAGTATTTATCTATAAAGAAAAGTTGTTATCGACAAATTTTCATTATAGGAAAGTTGTTGTCGATGATGTTCCGCCATAGAAAAATTGTAATGGACAATATTTTGTTATAAAAAATTCGTTATCGACAACTTTTCTTTATAGAACATTTGTTATCGACAATTTTTCTTCATGGAAACATTGTTATCGATGATTATTCTTCATAGTAACATTGTTATCGAGAGTTTTTCTTTATAGAAAAGTGGTTATCCACAACTATTCGTTATGGAAAAGTTGTTATTGATAACTTTTCATTATAGAAATGTTGTTATCGATAACTTTTCTTTATAGGAAAGTTGTTATCGACAACTTGTCTGTATAGAAAAGTTGTTATCAATTACTTTTCTTTATAGTTATCGATAACTTTTCATTATGAAAACGGTGTTATCGACCATTTTTCTTTAAGGACAATTTGTTATCAATAACTTTTCGTTATAGAAAAGTTGTTATCGATAACATTTCCTTATAGAAAAGTTCTTATAGATAACATTTCGTTATGGAAAAGTTGTTATCGACAGTTTTTTGTTATAAAAATATTTTATCGACATTTTTGTTATGAAAAAATATATTACCGATATTTTTTGTTGTATAATAATCTTTTGATCGATATGTTTTCTTCACAAAAAAAGCTACTCTTTCATCAGAAAAAAGTTGTTATCGATTGTTTTCCATTATAAAAAATATGTTATCGAAAACTTTTCTATGCAGTAAGGTAATTGTCGAACATTTTCTCCACACCAAAAGTTGTCATCAATAATTTGTTATTATAAAAAGCGTTTTATCGATTAATTTTCATTATAGAACAGTTGTTATCGATAAGGTTCTTCTAAATCTGTTTCATCGATATTATTATATTTGTTATCGATTTCATTATTTTTATTAAAATTAATCAAATGATTTTTTCTGCTTTTTCTTTCAGCATCATTTGCCCCGATGAGCCCTACGAAAAGCAAGTGCCAAATTTATGGACCATTATGTCCAAGGTACGTTTGGAAGCTTTCCTATGGGGTGCTGGCACTGCCCTAGGAGAATTGCCACCATATTTTATGGCCAAGGCTGCTCGTCTATCCGGCTATGATCCCGATGATGCTGAGGAGTTGGCTGAGTTTGAGGCCCTAAAGGCCAAAAGGAATCAAAAAGATTTAAGTCTTATGGATCGTGGCAAATTGTTTATGGAACGTGTTGTGGAACGTATTGGTTTCTTTGGCATTTTGGCGTGTGCTAGTGTAAGTGAACGAAGTTTTGAGAGAAGTTGTGAAATAATGAAATATGATTTTTATTTTTGTTTTTCAGATTCCCAATCCTTTGTTCGATTTGGCCGGCATCACCTGCGGCCATTTCCTGGTACCGTTTTGGACTTTCTTTGGTGCCACACTGATTGGCAAGGCCATTGTTAAAATGCACATCCAAAAGATCTTCGTGATTATTGCCTTTAATGAAGTACTCATCGAACGTGCTGTGGACACCTTATCCGTTATACCGGTAATTGGTAGCAAACTGCAGGAACCATTCAAGGCATTCTTGAATAATCAAAAAATGCGTTTGCATCGTCAACGTAATGCTGCCCCTGCGGAAGCTGGCAATTTACTATCGAAAATCTTTGAAACTTTTGTGATTGGCATGGTTTGCTATTTCGTTGTGTCGATTATAAATTCCCTGGCTCAAAGCTATCACAAACGCCTGAATAAACATAGGACTGCAAGTAATAGCACTACACCAATTGCACCGGCACCGACGGCGTCCAAGAAAACAAAAAAGGCTGCACTAAGAGAATAATTCCCCCCTCTCACACCAATGATATCCGTTTCCAGCAATTCCAATTATTTTTGTTTACGTTTTTGTTATTTTATTTTTCTTACGAGAGACTTGATGAGGAGTAGGAGGATAATTATGATGATGATTTTGTTTCCACCACCGCTAATATCCCCTAAATGTTGTTGAATGGCATTCTTTCCATCTAACGCTTTTCCTTTAGCAAAAATTTATTCCTAATATTTTTCCTTCTCTCAGATTTTGTAATTAATTATTTATATAAATTATGGAGGGTATGCAAAAGATGTTGAAAATCATGAAGTCTGTCGCAATGATATTGGGTGAATGTTTGCTAGATTTAATTACAATAAACAAAAAAAAATAATTTATAAATGAAGGCTAGTCTTAATAAATAAATTAATTAATTGGAAACAAAAAACAAGGCAAACAACAAAGAAATAAATATAATTATAGAAAATAAAGAAGAAGAATAAGAAGAAAATTATTAATAATTTAAAACGTAACGAAATAATAAAGACAAAAAGGTTTACACAGAAAAAAATAATAAATAATGATAATAAAACAAATCGAAATAAATGAAATCCGAATTAAATAATTAATAATAAATTATAAAAAAAACCATAATAAAAATAAATTGTTTTATTATTAAAAAATAATAAAATATCAAGGATACATATGCCAAATAAGGACTCAGAGGCCAAGAGGGATTTTAAAGAATATTTTTTTAAAGGAGTCAGATTCCTATAATCGGTAATTTTGAAAATATATGTTCCAAAGGAATCGAGGATTTTTGGAGGACACTTTTTAAAGGATCCAGAGGCTATTAGGCGAGGATTTTTAAAAGAATATTTTCTAAAGGATTCAGTAACCTAGAAAAGGGGATTTTTAGAGGATATTGTCTAAGGGATTCAGAGGCCATTAGGCGTAAATTTTTAACAAATATTATCTTAAGGTTTAGAGGCCTATAAGCGGGATTTTTAAAGAATATTTTTAAAGGATTTTTTAAGAATATTTTCTAAAGGATTCAGAGACCAAGAATGGGGGATTTTTAAATGAATATTTTTTAAAGAATTCAATGGCCAGGAATCGGGGATTTTTAAAAGAGGCCAAGAATTGGAAAATTTTGAAGAATATTTTCTTAAGAATTCTGAGGCCTATTATCGGTGATTTTCAAAAAATATTTTCTAAAGGATTCTGAGTCCTATAATAGGAGATGTTCAAAGAATATTTTCTGAGGGATTCAGAGGCCAAGAATCGGGGATTTTTAAAAGAGGCCAAGAATTGGAAAATTTTGAAGAATATTTTCTTAAGAATTCTGAGGCCTATTATCGGGGATTTTCAAAAAATATTTTCTAAAGGATTCTGAGGCCTATAATAGGGGATGTTCAAAGAATATTTTCTGAGGGATTCAGAGGCCAAGAATGGGGGATTTTTAAAAAAATATTTTCTAAAGAATTCTGAGGCCTATAATCGGGGATTTTTGAAGAATATCCTCTTAAGAATTCTGAGGCCTATAATCGGGTATTTTTAAAGAATATTTTCTGAGGGATTTAGATGCCATTAGGAGTGGATTTTTAAAGAAATATTTTCTAAAGGATTCAGAGGTCCTAGGCATGGATTTTTAAAGAATAGTTTCTAAGGGATCAGAAGCCATTAGGCTTGGATTTTTAAAAAGTTTTTCCATTGGCATTTTGAGATCATTAGCCGTGGATTTTTAAAGAGGATTTAGAGGTCATTAGCCTTGGAATTTTAAAGAGAATTTAGAGGTCGTTTGCCGTGGATTTTTAGAGAGGATTTAGAGGTCATTAGCCGTGGATTTTTAAAGAGGATTAAGAGGTCATTAGCCATGGATTTTTAAAGAGTGTTTCCATTAGGATTTTGAGGTCATAAGGCTTAGATTTTTAAAGAGGATTTTGAGGTCGTTGGGCATGGGTTCTTATAGAGCGTTTCCATTAGGATTTTAAGGTCATTTGGAGTGGATTTTTTAAGAGTGTTTCCCTTCGGATTTTGAGGTTATTAGACGTGGGTTTTCAAAGAAAATTTTCTAATGGACACAGGGGCGTTTAATTGGGTTTTTAAAAGGGCATTTCTATAAGGATTTAGATTGGCTTCTCCCAGAAAATTTACTTCTCACTACGATGCCTGTGGGACTTCTACTTTTCTCTGAGAAAATTTAATTATAAAATCAAAATCTGAGGGCCTTCGAACCACACCTTTTGACCTTCTTCGTTTTATAGCTCGGTAAGGCTTTTGATTTTTTTTTATTAAAAAATTCCTTCTCCCTTTTCTTTTTTTGTAAATTTATTTATTTTTTTCTTGGAAGTTTATTTGAAATATTTGTTGTTGTTTTTTTTCAATTTTTAATTTATAAGATAATTCCTGTTGCTGTTGTTTTTGTTCCAATATTATTCTTGTTTTTTTGTTATTAGTATTTAACTAAAGCCTTTTAAGGACACTTAAAAAAGTTCTATTTGAAAAGTACAAAAAAATAGAATTGAAAAAAAATCTGGTTTTTGAAAGACATCAATTTTGATTAGATCGCTAAATGCTTTAAAATACAAATTGGCTTTTGTTCTTCTCGCCGCCTCTGTCTAATGCAATGGATTATCACCGGCCAAGCAATGCCATTTTTCATGATAATGATCCGGCAGCCGTATACAATCCAACCACTGTTGCAACCGTTCACCTTTACTGTTATGGCCAATTACCAGACTGCCAAGGAAATCATTGCTTTTACCCAAATCCTTATCCCACACGGTGAGAACCAATGATTGTTTGTTCAGATCATGTGGGCCAGCTTCGAAATGGAATTCTTCGTTATAGATGGGATTAAGGGTTCGCCATTTTACACTGGTCTTGTATTTTTTGTTGCGATGGGAATCGGGTTTCATTTGTCTGAAAGGAAGAGGAGATGAAGAAGAGGATAAAAATGAAGCATACTTTTAGGCACAGCTTAAAAAAAATATTTAATTTTTTTATTAAAATTATCGCATTTGCTGTACGCTTACATTTTAACAAACGGATCTGAAGAACCATTATTATCCATGGGTATCAAATCGATGCACTGCTTTACATTCACCGTCAATGCCCGTTTCTTGGTATTGTAGCATAGGGAGATTAGCATTTTTCCATGTGGCCATTCCTGAGACATTTCCGCAGCATTGCTATACTGGTCCTCCGGGCCCAGGGGCACCGATATTCTATAGAGATTGGTGTTGTGGACCTGCAAAAAATCGAAATTATATAAAAAACAAATTTAGTCAAAAATTTCAATTTTTTCCAACTCACCGTCGACAAACAAATCTTTGCGGCCCCCAAAAAATCATGCCCATATTTATCCTCATCGAATATGGCCACATACAGCAAGGCATTACCCAGCTCTTCCGGTTCCACACCCACAAACTGTAGCGTGTCATTAAATTCTGGATTCCTTGTCTTGTGGACACATTTCGTTTTTTGCCACCGCAAATATTTCGGTTTACCCTCAGCAGTAACTATGTTCAGTTTACAATAGGGATCTGTTAAACCCGCTGGATCCATGGGTGGCAAATCTCGGGCTCTTACCACACAAGCATCCAAGGCATGATCATTTTCCCGATAACATATTGAAACCTCCAGCCAACCCAGTAAGGGGTCCCGGCAATGGGCATTCAGTTGTTGATGACCCGCCATGGCATGATTATGCATGGATCCCGATGTACCCGATGAACTATCACTGACCGACCATGATGAGGACACAGAACTCCTACGATTATTGGTATTAAAATTGCCACTTTCACGGCGATTTGTTGAGGAACCATGTGAGCCGGATGTCAAGACTGTGGAAGCTGTCGATATGTTATCATATTCCGTTTGGCCATTGCCCTCGCATCGAGACTGTGAGCGATTGGCATTGAAAAAGAAAGCATTTGAAAGTCTTCGTTCTCCTGCCGAGCCGTCGATGAAACTGCGTATGGAACCAAAGGTGCGCATGCGAAAGCTATCCTCTCGCTGTAATTTACCGGGGCTGATATCACTGCTGGCCGAGGGGCTGACACTTGTGGTTGTGCCACAACCAATGGCCAATTGGTTCATGGCATTGCTTGCACCACCACCATCCACTTCATCTTTGGTTTTATTCTCCTCTTCCTCCTCTTCGGAACTACTCGAATCACACACCCTTATTGTCAACTTTTTAACCCTTACATTCCTGGTGGGCGTTGTCTGACAACTGAGGGCTCTACGTTGAGCCATCAATGCCTCAGTGGATGCTGTATGCCGGGTGGGTGTCGATGTCGTTGAGCTGGGTATTTCATACCTTGGAAGACCTTTAAAAAACCATGCACCCGATTTCTTCCACATTTCTCGTGTCTCCGAACAGATGCGACACAGCCATATCTCTTTGGTCTTCTCCACGGTGTGATAGCGTATACTGATGTCCAAACTACACTTGGGGCAAACGGATTTTTTACAGTCTTCACAGATGATACGTTGAGCTCGCAGAATGCCAAAGGCATCGCCACAGAGGCGGCAGCAGTTGGGTCCCTTTTCGACGGCACGGGATTTTATTTTTTCCACACGATCGACCAAACGTCCGACACGCTGCCTCTCGGCACTTTCAATTTCTTCATTACGCTGGATGACAGAGATGATGGCGGCTTGTTCTTCGGGTCGTAGGGGTTCATGAACTTGGGAACTGTTCCAACCGGCACGTAATCTGGAAATGAAAGGAAAAAAATAATAAAAAAAAATCGACGAAATGAAAAAAATTAAAAAATAAATTATTATTTTTTCAAAGCATACTTTTAGGGGCAACGAGAAAATTTAAAAATATTAGTGACAATAGGCGTGGATTTTTTAAAATTAATTTCTGAGGTACCTCCTATAGGTGTGGACTTTTTTAAATTAATTTTTAGGGTACCTACAATAGGCGTGGATTTTTAGGGGATTTTTAGGGTGTATTTTTTTGGAGATCTTTTTAAATTAATTTTTAAGGTAGTTACCAAAAGCCTGGATTTTTTTAATTAATGTTTCAGAGATCAGTCGATTTTTTTAAATTAAGTTTTTAGGGTACCTACAATAGGTGTGGACTTTTTAATTTAATTTCAAAGGAAAGACTCCTTAAAGTATGCTTTAAAAAATTAATTCAATTTTGATACCCTCAAATAGTTTGCATTTGAGAAAAAAAGCTTCATCGAAACCTATTTATCGTCTTGTCAACCCGCCAACAACAAAACTCTATTCTTACCTTACCCAAAATCATTTTTCATTTTATTTAATAAATTTTTAACAAAATTCCCAAAACAACAACAACATAAGATTGTTGTAATTGTTGTTTCCTTTACATAAACCATAACCCTAACCTTTTAAAAATTGAGAAGAAAAAAACCGAAATTTATGTTTAATAAAAACATAACATTTTCTTTGGAATTAATTCGTATCCCATTAAATGGCAATTATCCCTTTCCTCGACCAGGACAACACAACAAAATTTGTTAAATACAAAAAAAAAATTGTGTTTTGACCCAAAATAAAACAACCGAACACACCGAATCTGTTCGGCTGTCCTTTTACAAAACGCCTAAAACAACTTAACAGCCATGTCAGAATTGTACCCCAAGGTAAGACAATTTAAATGTGTGGGTGGTACGAGAAAGGACAAAGAACCACATAGCAAGAAGAAGAACACGAAGTAGGGGTTTAAGATAATATTTCTTTTCTACTTAAAATTTATGGTAGCAATGGGAACAATCACATCAAATTGTTGGAGAATTTATGAGGGCGGTGGCAGTGATTAAGTTGAAGAGAGGTAGAAAATAAAAATATTGAATTTTTATTAATAAAAAAAAATTGAAAACTTAATTTAAAAACCAGTAAGGAAAGCAGTAAAGTCGGGCGGGACCGATTTCAACGAAACTTGCCACAGGTTAGTTTATACTAATTACAGTACGTTTTAATCCTATCAGCCATATATAGGGTCATTGTTGCATTTACTTACAATCGATCGATAATATCGAAGCTATATCTAAATCTGAATCGATTTTCAAGAAACTCAGAACACATCATTCCGGATTCAAATCAGTACGCCATGCCACATGTTGTGCAAATCGAAGGATATAAAGGGACTTTGGTGCACTATTTACCAAAAATCCGACGAAAATATATATGGGAGCTATATCGAAATCTGAACCGATTTTCACGAAACTTGGTAGACATGATTCCACCCCCAAATTAGTACGCTGTGTAAGATTTGGTGCAAATCGAAGGATATATAGAGGCTTTCGTGCACCATTTACATATAATTGGACGAAAATATGTATGTGGGCTATTTTTAAATCTGAACCGATTTTCACGAAACTTAATACACATCATTCTAAACTCAATTCAGTACGATATGGCAAATTTCGTGCAAATCGAAGGATATACAGGGACTTTGGTGCACAATTTACCAAAAATCGGACGAAAATATATATGGGAGCTGTATCGAAATCTGAACCGATTTGCACGAATTTTAATACATATCATTCTAGACTTTATTCAGTACGATATGCCAAATTTCGTGCAAATCGAATGATATATAGGGACCTTGATGCACCATTTACATAAAATCGGACGAAAATATATAGGGGAGCTATATCGAAATCTTAACCGATTTTCACGAAACTTAATACACATCATTCTAGACTTAATTCAGTACGCTGTGCCAAATTTCGTGCAAATCGAAGGATATATAGCCACTTTAGTGCACATTTTACCTTAAATCGGACGAAAATATATATGGGAGCTATATCGAAATCTAAAGCGATTTTTTCCAATTTTAATAGAGTTCGTCCTTGGTACAAATAAATCACCTATGCCAAATTTAATCCGGTTCGAATCAAAACTGCGACCTGTACTTTGTTTACAATTTAACATGGACAGAGGGACGGACATGCATAAATCGACTCAGAAAGTGATTCTATGCATAATATCAAAAAGAACCATGGGCCTATCTCGATTCCTTTTGCCTGTTACAAACATAATACCCTGGACCACAGTGTGGTGTAGGGTATAAAAATCCACGCCTTTTGTTGGTCTCTAAAAAATCAATTTAAATTAAAAAATCCCCGGCAAAAAAAAATTAATTTTTAAAAATCCATTTCTTGTTAAAAAAAAATTTTAATTAATTCCATTACCTCTCTTTGTTTTGAAAATTTATTTATTTTTTTATTGCTTTTCTGAACTTTTGTTTTCAAGTTCATCAATTTCGGATTTTAGCTGTTTAATTAATACCAAGCGGAATTGTTGATTTCCAACCCCAAACAGTTTTAAATTTGCATTGGCGATAGAGGCAAATAAATAAAGGTTAAGAAAATAATGTTAATAACAACAACAAAAAACAACAACAACATCATCAACACCAGCAGTCATTTTTGCAATCCTAAATACTCTTTTGTTGTTGCTGTTGTTGTTCTTGTAGTCATAAACAAAGGGAGCTATCGCCAGCACTACCGCACATTTAATCAAGCGGAGGCCAACATTTTAACTATGTGCGGAACAACAATCAACGACCGACCTTAAACTAAGCCGCAGTGTAATATCAGCACCAGACAACAACAACAAAAATATTTCACCTTTGGCAAAATTCAAATACAACAACAATCGCTCATTCGTGTGTGTGTGTGTGTGTGTGGGTTGGATGGCTTTTGCTGTTGCCTTATTGTCTACTGTCAAACAGTGCGTCAGTCATAACTGAAAACTGCCACCCTCTCCTCTCCTCCTGCTGCGGCCCAGGAATTTATGCTGATGAACATAAACTTCAACACTTCACTGGTCCTTCAAGCAAAACGTGGCCATTATGACTGAGTATTCCATTATTCATGTAGAACCAACCATTCAGCCGTACGCCCAAGCAACCCAACAACCAACCATCCATCCAACCAAACTAACCATGCATTCATCTCCAACCAGTCTGTTATGATGACTGAATAACGGACTGGCTTTATAACCACATCAGGCAAAACCCCGCACGCTTGCTCTCTTGTCAAAGTAAATAAAAGCATACTCTCATGCACATTCAATTGAAACAACTGAAAACCCACACACACACACACATCGACAACGCAACGCAAATTTGTTATTCTCTGCCCGAGCCTGCTTTATAAAAACCACACACACACACACTCCCCCCTCCCCCATGCATACATACGTATGTGTTTAGGCATAAAAACGTGGTAACAATAACGGAAAATAAACACCTGTAAGCGAAAATGACATATGTCATTAGAAGGGGAAATGCAAAGAGAAAGGCAAAGAGAGGGAGTTAAACACACACACACACAATTGAATTGAAAGAAACCCCCCATCAGATTTAAAACAGAGAGGGGTCTGATGGGCAAAGCATGGTCATTACTATCATTGTTGTTGCTGCCGTTGTTGTTGTTATTTTGCAGGATTCAATAATAAAAAGTAATTGTCTTTGTTAAAATCCAATTTCAAAAAAATGAAAGAAAATATTCCAATTGGAATGGGGAAATGAGAATTTATGGATAATAAATCCCATTATATTCCCATTCACCTGTGTTGTGTTTAAACAGGCAAGGGAAAACAAATCATTTACATGATAAACTGTTTTATTAAAGCATACTTTTGGGGGACTGAGTAAATAAATACTGTAATTTTGTGATAGGTCACTAAAAAAACCCCGGGATTTTTTTCAACACGTAAAAATGGTTTTAAAAAATCCAAGCATTTTTTTCCATTAAAAAAAAATAGTTAAAAAACTTTTAACTTGAAAAAAATTAATAAAAAATCTTACAAAAACTATTTAAAAAATCCAAGGAATTTTGTTCAGTTTGAAAAAAATTATTTAAAAAATCCAAACGTATTTTTCCATCTTTAGTGCACCATTTACATAAAATCGGACGAAAATATATATTGGAGCTATATCTAAATCTGAACCGAGTTTCAGGAAACTTAACTCACATCATTCTAGACTTAATTCTATGACAAAATTCGTGCAAATTGAATGATTTTCAGGGACTATGCCAAAATTCGTGCAAATCGAATGATTTTCAGGGACCACTTAATTAAAATAGGACCAAAAAAATCCACGCCTTTGGACCTTCTACTTCTCTGAGGAAATTTACTTTAAAAATCCACGCCTTTGGACCTTCTACTTCTCTGAGGAAATTTACTTTAAAAATCCACGCCTTTGGACCTTCTACTTCTCTGAGGAAATTTACTTTAAAAATCCACGCCTTTGGACCTTCTACTTCTCTGAGGAAATTTACTTTAAAAATCCACGCCTTTGGACCTTCTACTTCTCTGAGGAAATTTACTTTAAAAATCCACGCCTTTGGACCTTCTACTTCTCTGAGGAAATTTACTTTAAAAATCCACGCCTTTGGACCTTCTACTTCTCTGAGGAAATTTACTTTAAAAATCCACGCCTTTGGACCTTCTACTTCTCTGAGGAAATTTACTTTAAAAATCCACGCCTTTGGACCTTCTACTTCTCTGAGGAAATTTATTTTAAAAATCCACGCCTTTGGACCTTCTACTTCTCTGAGGAAATTTACTTTAAAAATCCACGCCTTGGACCTTCTACTTCTCTGAGGAAATTTACTTTAAAAATCCACGCCTTTGGACCTTCTACTTCTCTGAGGAAATTTACTTTAAAAATCCACGCCTTTGGACCTTCTACTTCTCTGAGGAAATTTACTTTAAAAATCCACG